GTGTGTGTGTGTGTGTGTGTGTGTGTGTGTGTGTGTGTGTGTGTGTGTGTGTGTGTGTGTGTGTGTGTGTGTGTGTGTGTGTGTGTGGTCCCGGAAGGAGGCCACGGTTGTGTGTGATGTTTGCCACGCTAACACGCAAGCATGGGAAATACACACGCTGAGCACACGGGTAGGGAGACTATAAGGTTTCATTATAGATCATCTGGATGTTGACAGCGGCGGAACATGACACTGCCCTCTGTGATCCAGTCGTTATTTTTAAGGTAATTTTGTAATCAGATACCCGTTCCTTTTACGCAAAACATGTGATCATGGCTGCTGTAGAGCTCAATTGGTGGAGCCTGGACCATTTGCCACATTTCATCTCCTCTGTCTCTCTGATGCAATACTGTCTCTATAATAAATGTACTGGTGTCCCCAAAAACTACTCAACTAACATTATTATAGGTCATATTTGATACCAGGATTGCTGGGCATATTTAAATAGATTCAAAGGCATTAAAGGTGGGGTAGGTAATTCACCTCAGAAACACTATATTAACTATATTCCATGGAATGCTCTTAACATCCCGATAGCAATGAATACATTAAATGCTTTGACAATAAATACATCTGTAGAAGCCGTAGCGCTGTAAAAAGCACGACAAATCCTCTGAGCCGGCCCGGCTAAAATAACTGGATGGCCTACCTGCCTGTCAGCCTTCCATCTGTGCACAAACTTATGTCGTGCCCTCATTGGTCATGTGCGCGTTCGTGTGTGTTGGAGGAGGGGCTCTGTAAGGAAGATTTGTTTCGGTTGCGTATTTTCAAATTCTAGCGCACTCGAGCTGGTTTCTCCATTCTTACCTACCCTACCTTTAACATGACCAAAAATAAGATCTTAATTACAATTTTTAGGTCCTTAATCAATAAATCAAAATACTTTATAATGCTTAGACATTGCCAGTAGGATTTAGGATATTTTTATTTTATTATAAAAAAAAAATCAACATTTATCATTTCTTTGTTTAACTATTTACCAAATACCTCTTGCTTTTACAAAGATGCAGTGAGTGAATGTCCACAAAATGAATGTTAAATTTCATTCTGAATGGCAATACATTAGTCTTAGAGACCCTGTAATACAAACATATTTATTAAAGCTCCTTAAAATACAGTTTTACACGCATTGTTGGACAGCCGATGTACTTTAAGTTCACTTTAAGTCAGGGGTGTCAAACTCAATTTCATTCCGGGCCACATCAGCATTATGGTTGCACTCAAAGGGCCGGTTGTAATTTTAATTATATATAAATATACATATGTAAATATATAATATATATTAAATAATGTATTATATTACATTGTTGGCCCTGCATTGGATTATTATCAGTTCTGGTAATATCTTCCTAAATAACTACGTCTGAAAGCAGAAGTCTAGGGCAAATCATTGAAAGCAAATATTCAACAATTACAACAATTGTATTGTATATTATATTCTTTGCAAGCTCTTGCGGGCCACATAAAATGAGGTTGCGGGCCGGATTTGGCCCCCGGGCCTTGAGTTTGACACCCCTGCTTTAAGTTAAAGGATCAGAGCAGTTGCTAGAAAGTAAGAACACAAGTAGACTCAATGCTACTTCATCCCATCATGTTTGCAGTCTGTCAGTGAACATAGGCTGTGGTTTGCCCTGAGCAAAGCCAAGGTCGCGTCACACCGACAGCTCGTCTCCCTTATGAATTGTAATCCAGCCTAACTAACTGACAACTAACAGGACAAAAGTGCAGCAGGAGCGGACTGATGAAAACAACCCTACAGTGCACGGCTGCCATCAAAACAGCTTGTGCTTTTTGGACAGACCTCCATATTTTGGTGCTGAGTGAAAGCTCTGGAAAATATCCTCTGGCTCCACAGCGAGGAATTCCACTAAGGATAAAGGAATGTAAAAAAAGGCAATTTCACAAGTCACTTAGTCGCAAGGAATTAGAAGATGTAGGAAATGTGGATTAGCAGTTGGCACCACTGGTTGAACATGGCTGACATTTTGTGCAGAGAGCCTTGGAGATGAAGCGTCTGTCATCACGAGAGCCTGCGACATGGTCTCCAGTTTGCTGAGTGTGCACCCCGTAGGCCCAGAAATATGAGGAGCATGCAGAATGCTGCTGAGTGTCTGGTTTTGCACACTCTCCCCTCATGTGTCGCCCCGAAGAAACCCATTGATGTGATTCATGTTTGAGCACACGGTTACGACTCAAGGTCCTGTGCATGATAAGTTGCAGATTTCAGTCACATCCTCCCGACCTGCACTTCCTCCCACACACATTCTGGAGAAAGCTTGGCATGATCTCGGGTTGGGAAAACGCCACAGGGATGAAAACCTGGATTTTCAGTGTTAACAACTATGTAGCCGTGTCTCAATCTGGCAGAGTGCGCCTCAGCTCTGCAAATTACGGGTGTGGGATGTGGATTTCCGTTTTAAAAACTCTCAAACTCACAAAGAACACCCATCCTTCTTTCACTGTTCTGTTTTCTTCTACTGACAATAATGTTACCTTAAGATGCCCTCTTAATGCTTTCATGCAATTGTACTTGGAACAAAAAGATCTAAAAAAATGCACTGAAGGCTTTATCAGCGCTTGCTTTCACGACAATCAAATATTGTTTTTATATATCCCTGCCCACACACAGAAGTTTTCAAATAGAGACTTGGAAATGCATGCTTCAGTGGTAAACAGTGGGTTGTATCTTTTTGTAATCAAGCCCTAAAGGGATAGAAGAAGGATTGGAAATTGCTTATAGTGCCGAGGATAAGGAAGCTGCTGGTGACATTCTTTAATAGAAGCCCGCGTCACACTGTCCCGAAATTGACACCAGATGGACACACGAATATGGAATTGTGAATTTCGCACGAAGATGGCCCCGAACTTGGTCAACAGCCAAGCAACAGCCGAAGCAAGTACGATGCCTACAGAAGGCCACACGATGGCACCCGAACCACACACTCCGTCATGTTGTTTCCATAGCAACAACAACTTCCTGTCAACAACGTAAACTCTCCTTCAAAATAAAAGCATCTAAATAAAACAGGAAGTCAACTTAAATGACACTTAAGACATACAACTGCAACGAAAGTAACAAAAACAATGTAATATCCTTTTCAGTTTCACAGAACACAAATTGTACTATAATACGATGGCTACACGACGGCATTGCGAGGGCTTCACGTAGTCGTGTTGCCTTCCTAAGACAATCGGGCAGCTTCGTATTGTCTTTGTGATACGAAAAATGCCCGATGGCACCGATGATCACACGAAGTAAAGACGAAGATGACACGATTTGACAAGATGCCCTCACGATGGCCTTACGAAGGACAAAATGGAACCACGAATTCAACACGAAAATGAACCTTCGCAAGGTCCATCTGCAATTTGTTGGCATGCCAAAAGATTTTGCCACCGCTCACGAAGTTGCTGCCGGAGCCTGAGAAACTCCACCGGCGGTCATACGATGGCTTAAAATGCCCTCACGAATGGCCCGATGTTGCTACGATCAGAGCCGAATTTGAACATTTCCTTTATCGTGTCCATCTGGTGTCAATTTCGGGACAGTGTGACGTGGGCTTAATAGAAGATTTTGGCTACCAGTTAGTTGTACAGCTCTAACAACTGAAATTCTGATAAACTGCACATTTTGTATTATAGAAAAGTCATTTGTTCCTATCATACCTACATTTGTATATTTCTATATCTATATATGTTTGTATTTTTAATATATTATTAAACATTTCTTGTTTTATTTTGTAATAGTTATTTTGTTCTATATTTGCTCCTTTTTAAAAACGTAATTCCTCTTGCTGTGGTAATGGATAAACTACTTTACCCCAAAGCAAATTCCTTGTATGTGTGAACCAACTTATAAAACACTCCAACACATCTACCTCTAACTACCGAGCCTCAGATTGTTGAAGAACTGTTTTTGATTTCTCACTCTAAAAACATTTCCTTTCCATCTCAACCATAACTACTTCCTAAGATTTATGTAAAACAACACTCGAACATAGTCGTCAAAATGTGCCTTCAGTTTCCTTAAAAGCAGCAGAGAGGTGTTTTGCTGAAGCCATTAAAGTCTGACGAGATGTCTCCCCCTCCTGGGGCTAATGCGTCCCGCCATACAAGATGCATGCCTCCCTCCAGAGATGATAGCAGCTCAACGTGACCTTGACAGTAGAAACCTTCGCTCTGAAACCCCCCCCTCTTCTGCTTAATTGAATCGTCTTGTTGATCCCTTGTAAAGCACTTAAGAAGTTGTGCAAAATAAGAACGACCCTGTATGAATATGATTTAATGTCTCTCTGTGAGCCTGCACTGTCTAACAGCTGATAATGTCATTACGTTTCCATCAGAGAAAGGCCTAATTATCGACTGTAGTGGCTCTGGGTTTGGTCGGATCAATAACTTCTCCTTCTTGTCCTCTCATCCTTTATAAGTATATTTAATCATAATGCTTATTAAACCTTCTAAGCACCGTTCCAGCATTTGTTTTAATGGATATTTAATTCAATAAAAGGCAGCGACAAAAAAAAGAAAAGTCTTCCACATGAATAAAAAAAAAGGACCTGTTTTTCGTGCAATTAGCTGCAATCCTAATGTTGTTGCATTTGTTAAGGTTGTCCCAGAGACATGGTGCATTATGGGAAACCCAAGCTTCTTACCCTGTTTCCCTTCGCCAAAAAACCCTCCCCATGGTCCGAGATAAAACCCAGCACTCTGGTACTGCCGGTACCTTCACTCAGCCTAATTGGCTTGTCTGTCTTTTGCCAGATAGTCTAACCTGTGTGTGTGTGTGTGTGTGTGTGTGTGTGTGTGTGTGTGGTGTGTGTGTGTGTGTGTGGTGTGTGTGTGTGTGTGTGTGTGTGTGTGTGTGTGTGTGTGTGTGTGTGTGTGTGTGTGTGTGTGTGTGTGTGTGTGTGTGTGTGTGTGTGTGTGTGTGTGTGTGTGTGTGTGTGTGTTTCCCCCTGCAGGCTTCGAGCTGCTGTATCAGCCTGAAGTGGTGAGGCTGTACCTGTCTCTGCTGACGGAGAGCCAGAACTACAACACCCTGGAGGCGGCTGCAGGCGCTCTGCAGAACCTCAGCGCTGGACAGTGGACCGTAAGTCCCTGAGGAGGAGGGGGGGGGGGGTTGGAGGGGCACAACACGAGGACACTATGTCCTGTCTGAATGTTAGATTGTATTTGCACACATGTTGTATTTTTGCAAAGTCTGTCCTGATGGTTGACCTTTCAGTAGCAGGTGCAGGAATACAGAGTCTGAAGGGTTTAGAGGTTTAGGGTTTATCAATCTGGATACTTCCTTATTACACTGACGGGTCGTCGGTCTGCAGAGAGGGCAAAAGTACACACATCCTTTACTCAAGTAGAAGTACAGATACTCGTGTTTAAAAATACTCTGGTAAAAGTAGAAGTACTGACTAAACTTCTTTACTCAAGTGAAAGTAAAGAGGCTTTGAAATGTACTTCAGTAAAAAGTACCCATAACTAGCAGCTGTTTTAAAGAGTACCTGACCTCCCTTTATATTAATAGAACAATAATGTCATTGTTAGCTAATGAATGTTTCCATGCTGAACAACGGCAACATGACAACGTTTCCATTGGTCCCTCTTCTTTAGAGAAGACCAGGAAATTATGGATACACGGATCGTGTTCAAATCAATAGGCACGCAATGACTCTAAAGAATAATGATCACGCATCAAACACACATTCAGACTAAAGGAACCAGCTGTTTGGAAAATGAGAGAAGTAGAAAGTACAAGTATTTGTGTTCAACATGTAAGAAGTAGAAAGTACAGGTATTTGTGTTCAACATGTAAGAAGTAGAAAGTACAGGTATTTGAGTTCAACATGTAAGAAGTAGAAAGTACAGGTATTTGTGTTCAACATGTAAGAAGTAGAAAGTACAGGTATTTGTGTTCAAAATGTAAGAAGTAGAAAGTACAGGTATTTGAGTTCAACATGTAAGAAGTAGAAAGTACAGGTATTTGTGTTCAACATGTAAGAAGTAGAAAGTACAGGTATTTGAGTTCAACATGTAAGAAGTAGAAAGTACAGGTATTTGTGTTCAACATGTAAGAAGTAGAAGAAGTACAGGTATTTGAGTTCAACATGTAAGAAGTAGAAAGTACAGGTATTTGAGTTCAACATGTAAGAAGTAGAAAGTACAGGTATTTGAGTTCAACATGTAAGAAGTAGAAAGTACAGGTATTTGAGTTCAACATGTAAGAAGTAGAAAGTAAAAAGTCATCAGAAAAATAAGTAGTGGAGTAAAGTACTGATATCAGAAACATGTACTTAAGTACAGTAACGAAGTATTTGTACTCCACTACTTCCCACCTCTGTGGGTTGAACACTTGTTCATGTCAATTTCGACTCAGTAGTGTTGTCTTAAATCACACTCAGCTGCTTTGACTTCAAGTGACGATAGCCATGTTTAACCAGCTAGCTAGCAATGATTGTATGCAGTACCAAAACATTACAGACTACTCAATTAACCCTTTAAAATAACGGTGGCTTCTTTTTGGCACCAGTATAGTGGTATGTTGCCTAAATAGTGTGAAAACCCATTGGTATAACTGCTTAGTGCTCTTTCAACCAGGTCTGTAACTTCCGTTAGGCGAGAGTGTGAGAAGAGCCCTCCTTTCACCTCAACTCTTTGACTCTGTGTCATCTGGGTACTCAAAGTGCATTGTGCCACAGAAAAAACACCTATGCACTCAAAACAAAAGGTGAAAGTACAGAGGTATTTGAGACACGGCGTACGTGTTGATGCACTGTCTCTTCAAATCATATAAGCAGTGTGTAAACAGGAAATAGTCTCAGACTGTGTTTTCTGATCGTATCAGACTGAAAACTCACATGACTGCACATAATCTAGAGTTTAGAGTGTCCTTAGCAACGGTCTGTTATCAAAAAATAGCAGATCGCTGAGTTTCAAAATAAACCAATCAGTTTCCAGGAGTCAAACAAGCCGTGAAATAAGAAGGATGACACGAACAGATAAGGGTTAGATAACTGAAGCAGCCCAAACTTTCCTCTGGAGATGTTTGCCTCTGATGATGGATGATATAAAAGCCTCCTCACACAGGATCAGACTTTTATTCCAATTAGAGCGGCTGCTGTGGAGCAGAGAGAGGCCGTCTGCTCTCAGTGAGTTATCAACAGGGAAGGCTAGTTGTCAGATGCCAGTTTACGAGCAGCACCTCAGACTGGAGCGGTCACTCGTGTTATTTCCAGCAGGCAGAGCTTCTCTTTACACCCGTGTGTCAGCCTATAAACACATCCTTCAGTCCTGAATCAGCAGCACCCCCCCCCCTCTCTCTCTAGGGGAAAAACGCCTCCACTAATTCTTTAGAGTTTCAGCCCAGAGTCTCTCATTCAGCGTTAATAATTCAGCAGTAGTGATTTTCAGCTCAGGTGAGCATTTTGAGGAGAAATCCTCTGTTCCTTTTGGTTTTTTCCTGTTGGACTGATCAGAATGACTGAATTATCTTTAAAGGCGCCCTATTATGTGTTTTTGGGGGCGGTTTTCCCTTTCCCGTAATGTGTTCAATACGCTTTTGTGCATGCATTCAGTCAAATAGTCACATCAATATCCAACACTCGCACTCCTATTGGCTAGCGCTCCTACACATTGTAAATTATAGGCTAAGGGGCGGGATATCTCTAAGCGATTGACCAATCACAACAGAGCTGGCCAGCTAACCAATCAGAGCAGACTGGGCTCTGGTTTCAGACAGAGGGTGAAAAGAGGTGATGCAGCACAGGCAGTATGAGAACAATTAAGAGCTTTTTGAACATCACTACATACTGATATACACCTGAACATCAGCAGGAGAGGACTCTTTAAAGTAGAGACACTACATACTGATATACACCTGCACATCAGCAGGAGAGGACTCTTTAAAGTAGAGACACTACATACTGATATACACCTGAACATCAGCAGGAGAGGACTCTTTAAAGTAGAGACACTACATACTGATATACTCCTGAAACATCAGCAGGAGAGGACTCTTTTAAAGTAGAGACACTACTACTGATATACACCTGAACATCAGCAGGGAGAGGGACTCTTTAAAGTAGAGACACTACATACTGATATACACCTGAACATCAGCAGTAGATGACTCTTTAAAGTAGAGACACTACATACTGATATACACCTGAACATCAGCAGGAGAGGACTCTTTAAAGTAGAGACACTACATAGTGATATACACCTGGACATCAGCAGGAGAGGACTCTTTAAAGTAGAGACACTACATACTGATATACACCTGGACATCAGCAGGAGAGGACTCTTTAAAGTAGAGACACTACATACTGATATACACCTGAACATCAGCAGGAGAGGACTCTTTAAAGCAGAGATACTACATACTGATATACACCTGGACATCAGCAGGAGAGGACTCTTTAAAGTAGAGACACTACATACTGATATACACCTGAACATCAGCAGGAGAGGACTCTTTAAAGTAGAGACACTACATACTGATATACACCTGGACATCAGCAGGAGAGGGACTCTTTAAAGTAGAGACACTACATACTGATATACACCCTGGACATCAGCAGGAGAGGACTCTTTAAAGTAGAGACACTACATACTGATATACACCCTGAACATCAGCAGTAGATGACTCTTTAAAGTAGAGACACTACATACTGATATACACCTGGACATCAGCAGGAGAGGACTCTTTAAAGTAGAGACACTACATACTGATATACACTTGGACATCAGCAGGAGAGGACTCTTTAAAGTAGAGACACTACATACTGATATACACCTGAACATCAGCAGGAGAGGACTCTTTAAAGTAGAGACACTACATACTGATATACACCTGAACATCAGCAGGAGGAGGACTCTTTAAAGTAGAGCCACTACATACTGATATACACCTGAACATCAGCAGGAGAGGACTCTTTAAAGTAGAGACACTACATACTGATATACACCTGAACATCAGCAGGAGAGGACTCTTTAAAGTAGAGACCACTACATACTGATATACACCTGAACATCAGCAGGAGAGGACTCTTTAAAGTAGAGACACTACATACTGATATACACCTGAACATCAGCAGGAGAGGACTCTTTAAAGTAGAGACACTACATACTGATATACACCTGAACATCAGCAGGAGAGGACTCTTTAAAGTAGAGACACTACATACTGATATACACCTGGACATCAGCAGGAGAGGACTCTTTAAGTAGAGCCACTACATACTGATATACACCTGAACATCAGCAGGAGAGGACTCTTTAAAGTAGAGACACTACATACTGATATACACCTGAACATCAGCAGGAGAGGACTCTTTAAAGTAGAGACACTACATACTGATATACATCTGAACATCAGCAGAGAGGACTCTTTAAAGTAGAGACACTACACACTGATATACACCTGAACATCAGCAGGAGAGGACTCTTTAAAGTAGAGACACTACATACTGATATACACCTGGACATCAGCAGGAGAGGACTCTTTAAAGTAGAGACACTACATACTGATATACACCTGGACATCAGCAGGAGAGGACTCTTTAAAGTAGAGACACTACATACTGATATACACCTGAACATCAGCAGGAGAGGACTCTTTAAAAAAAAATCCTACTTTTGTTGTGTTCTTATTTGATTTTCAACCTGTGTTTACCTCTTAATTGTTAGCTAGACTTATTGTATTTGCCCTATGAAGTTCCTCCTCTGTAGCACAAAAAAAGCCCCCTTTGGAGCCGTTGTGACATCACTCTGTCACATCTGGACGAAGCATGCCCTGCTCCCTGAGAGGATAGAGCCGCTTCTTTCAATCCTCTTCAGTCCTTGCTCCTTCTTATTACTCTACCACTGGATCGACATGTCTCTTAAAGCAGTGGTTCTCAAATGGGGGTACACGGACCCCTAGGGGTACGTTGGAGTACTGCAGGGGGTACGTGAGATTTATTTTATGTTAATGATAAAAAAAACATAAGTAATGCATTTAAACAAACTACTAATAGTAGATTAACTACTTAATTCAAAGGTTACAGAAACTCTGGATAATAACACGGGAAAAATAAACGGGGTGCTCTCTTTTCCTCTCCCTCTCCTGACAGCACGTCAGTCTCGTGCAGCTCGCTGAACCTGTAATAAGTGACCCGACAGTAAAGAATAAATATATTTATAACTAGTTTAGCTAGATCCAGAGTAGATACACTAGCTAAGTGTGTTAGGTCTAACTCTTAGTGTATTTTGCTCGGCTCAACGGTCCGTCACAGCGGCGGAGCTGTGATCATGCAGAGCTGCGTGTTCTCCGTCAGCAGCAGCTGATCTGATCCCTCTCTCTCGTCCGATTATACTTCTCTCGCGTTTATGTCCAAATCTATCAGATCTAGCTAGTTCTAGTTAATTATTTGACTGCCTGCTTTTCAAAGGACCTAAACAATAAGCGTTGCTTGGCAACGGCCTGTGGCCGCAAAGTAGCGCAGCATTATGCATAATGTTTTTATGAGGAGTCAAAATCCCATGCTCATAAAATGCTCATATTTGTTTTCTCTTCATTCCCCACACCCCAAAATAAATAAATAAACCAATTTTAGGAAAAGTAAGGAAGTTTGAGCAGAGTGGGTTTTATATGAACAGAGTTACACATATTTCAAAAGGCAAAGTGTAATAACTGCAGTTTGCCTCCCTGTCAGAATGACAAAGATCTCAGTGAAGCTCAAGCCCATGTTTCACTACACTGTAATTACAACTTATTAAAAAGATCAGTTCAATGCAACTAATGTCGTCTTAGTGTTATTGCATGATGTTAAAATTGGTTTGCCATGAATTTAGTGATGGATTGTAAACATTTGAAATGTAGCATTTAAGTTTTTCTCAGTTACAAGGTTGATGTTTTAATAAATCAGACACTGATGGTGCAGCGCTGTACTGTACCTCTTTATATAGGCTTTTCTTCCCTAACAAATTGTTTCTGCACTGATCAGGGGGTACTTGGCTGCATTTTATTTTCAAAGGGGGTACATGATTGAAAAAAGTTTGAGAACCACTGTCTTAAAGCTTACTACTGCCACCTAGTGGATCACCCAGGCCTGTCCTTGCCTTAATTACATCTCTCGGGGTCTCAGTGCTTAGAAGATAAATCCTTTTATGTCAAACTTAATGTTTCATGGAACAAAAAAAATGAGACGTAAAACCCACTGATGTTTAAATGAAGACAAATGATATCACATGTCCATTCAGAGTCCCGCTGTGTGATGTTGTGAATAAGTCAAGGAGCAGAGCTTGTAGTTAGTGTGTGGTGTGTGTGTGTGTGTGTGTGTGTGTGTGTGTGTGTGTGTGTGTGTGTGTGTGTGTGTGTGTGTGTGTGTGTGTGTGTGTGTGTGTGGTGTGTGTGTGTGTGTGTGTGTGTGTGTGTGTGTGTGTGTGTGTGTGTGTGTGTGTGTGTGTGTGTGTGTGGTGTGTGTGTGTGTGTGTGTGTGTGTGTGTGTGTGTGTGTGTGTGTGTCCTCATGGAGGTGACCTGGGCTCCTTCAGTGGAGCGTTCCCCGTGGTACCAAAAGATGTATGGTGATGCTGGGCAGCTCCCAGGTGGGTTTGTGCGTGTCTGCATGAATGTCAACAGGAAGTAGCTGTCAGTGTGGAGGTTAAAGGTTACAAATTATGAAAAGTAGTCACATCCCGCCCTCTTTCTACCCTCCAGTGGTCCAACTACATCCGAGCCACGGTGCGTAAGGAGAAAGGTCTTCCCATCCTGGTGGAGCTGCTGCGCTCTGACTCTGATAAGGTGGTGCGGGCGGTGTCCATCGCGCTGAGAAACCTCTCCATCGACCGCCGCAACAAGGACCTGATCGGTACCAACAACAGCCTCACACTGATTTAACATGGCATCATTGATGAAGCATTTTGGTTCCAAATCGACGGACATATTGTAGACTTTGTTGTTAGATACGGAGCGTCTGAAAGGAAATGTTAAAACATCTTTCAAACGATACTCAGGCGTATTAACTTTGAAAGGCTGTATTTATTCCTCCTTACCATAAATGTAATTTAACTCCATTGTATGAGATGGTGTAAAAAAATCCCAATTTTGTGCAAAAATACATTTCAAATGTCATTTAAAGCTAATATGAGGATGCAGCAGTGTGAGTTTATCGATTTGTCGTCTTCCAAAGTTCCTCCAAAGAATGTCTTAATCTCTTTTTATATTTGTTTATGTTAAATCTAACCACTGTAGTTTGATTAAATAGAGTATTTTGAAGCAAATAACAATAATGTATATGTATTCAAAGCAAGAATATGCTGTCTGAAATCCTAGTGAAACAGCATGACACACGTATCGCCTCTATAAAACCCGTTAAGGCATATTTAATAGTAAGCCTGATATAATTACCTGTTTCCTTTGTGATCTTGATTAGATTTAAAATGAATCACTATTACTAACATTATTAACCTTTAAAATAATGTGCCCTAACAGGAAGTTATGCCATGCGGGACCTGGTGAGCAACCTGCCGTCGGGCCAGCAGCGGCCGGCTAAGAACCTGGAGGAGGACACGGTGGTGGCCATCCTGAACACCATCCACGAGATCGTGACCGACTCCTCGGAGAACGCCCGCTCCCTCGCTCAGGCGCAGGCCATCGAGAAGCTGGTGGCCATCAACCGGACCAGGTGAGACTCAATCAATACAGACTGTGGTGGGGTGTAATGAAGTACATTCAGTACTGAACTTGAGTACAGTACTTATTTAATTACACTACATTTTAGAAGCCAATATTGTTCTTTTTTCTCCACCAAATGTATTCACATTTTTGACTAATATAAGATCCAAATAAACGAATACAAAAATAATAACCTATAATTATAAGTGAGGATATCCCGCAGCCGTAAATAAAGTAATTCATATTATTTCAATATTACTGGCTTTGATGAACACATGAATGCATCAAGAATCATATGATTGTATTGTGGGCCACTATACAAGTCTTTTTATTTTTGTTAGTTAAGTATATTTTGATGCCAGTACTTTTACAAAAGTATGAGTGAATGAATGCAAGACTTTTAGTTGTAAGAGAGTATTTTTACAATTGAATATCACTACTTTTACTTATCTGATTACTTCTTCCACCTGGGTACACAGTACATCCCAAATGAATGTCACTTACTGTACAACATGTACAAAGTTATGATTTCTAGATAAAGTGCATTCAAACCATTATTTTTAAAGAATGTATGAATTAAGTAAGCTACTTTTTACACATAGGCCGCCCTATGAATATGCCCAATTAAACACTTAAAACTCGTTGCCTTTTTTCAAAAATAAGCTTCCTTAAAGGTGGGGTAGGTAAGTTAGAGAATCGGCTCGAGATACACTTTTTGTTATCTTCCATTGAATGCTCTTAACTTCCCGATAGCAATGAATATCTTAAGTGCCTTGACAAAAAATCCATAAAAAAACTTCATCAGTGGAAGCCGTAGCGACAGCCTTCCATCTGTGCACAAACTTATATCGTGCCCTCATTGGTCATGTGCGCTTTCGTGTGTGTTGGAGGAGGGGCTCTGTAAGGAAGTGGCAGATTTTTTCCGGCTGTGTATTTTCAAATTCTAGCGCACTCGAGCTGGTTTCTCCAAAATTACCTACCCCACCTTTAAGTATATTTTGATGCCAGTACTTTTACTCAAGTAAAAGTATGAGTGAATGAATGCAGGACTTGTACTTACAATTTAATATCACTACTATTACTTATCTGATTACTTCTTCCACCTGTGTACACAGTACATCCCAAATTAATGTGACTTTACAACATGTCAAAAGTTAAGATTTTAAGAATGTATGTATTAAGTAAGCTACCTTTTACACATAGGCCGCCCTATATTGAATATGCACAATTAAATACTCAAAACTTATTGCCTTTTTTCAAAAATAAGCTTCCTTAAAGAGTTCATATTTTACCCAATTACTCACTATGCCCAGTGATGCTGTAACACACGTTTTCCTATCATCGATTTAATACTGTAGGTCAATCTAATTATATTTCCGACAGTGAGCCAAACACACACTATGCATTCATATCCATGTGAACCGTGCCACAAGTAAAGAAACACCGTGGAGACACGTGTAATAATTACTGCGTGACCTTGAATGCAACGAGCCTTTAAAATCATGGAGGATAATGCAATGTGTCTCTAATGGCTCCCACAATGCTTTACTCTAACAAGCTGCGCCCACACACACATGACAACACACCACACATTAATTAACAGGCTTTCAGAAGCATTGTTATAGAGGGGGGGTCTCTGAAGTTGCTGCTTATATAAGAGTGTCGTCATACTTCTAAAGCTCTCCACAACAACCTTGTAATGAAAACTCTCAGATATGAACGCAGGTATTCTAAAGAGTTGTTTTTAAATGACCGCAGTGTCAGCCAGTCAAACTGAAGTGTGTCTACCTTGCTTTTAATTTAACATCAAGAGCACTTCTCAAAGTCCCGTCCTTGTGAGGTGAAGTGTTGATCAGAGAGTCGCTCTAACTAGCATGAGTATACAAAATAATTCACTCTCAGACCAAATAGCTGAATTTCCTCTCACCCACATGAGATTAGCATTCTTTGAAGCGCGGCCCCCACCCACATGTAATTAATACTGCCGTCTCAGAGGTAGCTAATGAAAGGAAATTTGCACTCATCTCACTATGAATGAAAAAGTAGACCCTGGAGCAGCTCAGGGGACTCTGCGTCTTTGAATGGAGAGATTGATTTGTGTGCTGTAATACCCAGGCGTCACTGTTTGGGGTTATTTTAGGTTTCTGTCTTTAATTGTTGTTTTTGTATTTCTTCATTTCCTGTCTGTGGCCTCCTCTCAGCCAATCGGCTCGCGAAACCAAGGCTGCGTCCCACGTTCTGCAGACGGTCTGGAGCTATAAGGAACTGAGGAATGCTTTGACCAAGGATGGATGGAACAAAAGCCACTTCCAGGTACAGAAGTCTCATCTTGTAAATCATCACATATTATCTGCATCGTAAGCACTGATGTGGTTATCTCAGGTTCTTAAAGAATATCTTTTATTAACATTTAGAGACACACATGTTGAGCAGAGATGGCGAAAGTACACACATCCTTTACTCAAGTAGAAGTACAGATACTCGTGTTTAAAAATACTCTGGTAAAAGTAGAAGTACTGACTAAACTTCTTTACTCAAGTAAAAGTAAAGAGGCTTTGAAATGTACTTCAGTAGAAAGTACCCATAACTAGCAGCTGTTTTAAAGAGTACCTGACCTCCCTTTATATTAATAGAACAATAATGTCATTGTTAGCTAATGAATGTTTCCATGCTGAACAACGGCAACATGACAACGTTTCCATTGGTCCCTCTTCTTTAGAGAAGACCAGGAAATGATGGATACACGGATCGTGTTCAAATCAATAGGCACGCAATGACTCTAAAGAATAATGATCACGCATCAAACACACATTCAGACTAAAGGAACCAGCTGTTTGGGAAATGAGAGAAGTAGAAAGTACAGGTATTTGAGTTCAACATGTAAGAAGTAGAAAGTACAGGTATTTGTGTTCAACATGTAAGAAGTAGAAAGTACAGCTATTTGAGTTCAACATGTAAGAAGTAGAAAGTACAGGTATTTGAGTTCAACATGTGAGAAGTAGAAAGTACAGGTATTTGTGTTCAACATGTAAGAAGTAGAAAGTACAGGTATTTGAGTTCAACATGTAAGAAGTAGAAAGTACAGGTATTTGTGTTCAACATGTAAGAAGTAGAAAGTACAGGTATTTGAGTTCAACATGTAAGAAGTAGAAAGTACAGGTATTTGTGTTCAACATGTAAGAAGTAGAAAGTACAGGTATTTGGGTTCAACATGTAAGAAGTAGAAAGTACAGGTATTGAGTTCAACATGTAAGAAGTAGAAAGTACAGGTATTTGTGTTCAACATGTAAGAAGTAGAAAGTACAGGTATTTGAGTTCAACATGTAAGAAGTAGAAAGTACAGGTATTTGTGTTCAACATGTAAGAAGTAGAAAGTACAGGTATTTGTGTTCAACATGTAAGAAGTAGAAAGTACAGGTATTTGAGTTCAACATGTAAGAAGTAGAAAGTACAGGTATTTGTGTTCAACATGTAAGAAGTAGAAGTACAGGTATTGAGTTCAACATGTAAGAAGTAGAAAGTACAGGTATTTGGGTTCAACATGTAAGAAGTAGAAAGTACAGGTATTTGAGTTCAACATGTAAGAAGTAGAAAGTACAGGTATTTGAGTTCAACATGTAAGAAGTAGAAAGTACAGGTATTTGAGTTCAACATGTAAGAAGTAGAAAGTACAGGTATTTGGGTTCAACATGTAAGAAGTAGAAAGTACAGGTATTTGAGTTCAACATGTAAGAAGTAGAAAGTACAGGTATTTGGGTTCAACATGTAAGAAGTAGAAAGTACAGGTATTTGGGTTCAACATGTAAGAAGTAAAAGTAAAAAGTCGTCAGTTGGAGTAAAGTACTGATACCAGAAACATGTACTTAAGTACAGTAACGAAGTATCTGTACTCCGCTACTTCCCACCTCTGATGTTGAGAAGAACCACTTAGCTTTAAATAAAGTGTCCCACTAAGAGAGTGTACAAAAAGAGTAGCATCATTAGCAACTACTCATTTCGTAGAATGATTTGAATATAAATCGCCAAAGAACTCCTGCAAAGGCCAATGGTGCGTTCATGTGCTCCTTCGATGGTCCCACTACCCAACTTGGTTTCCGAGTCATTTCTTCAACTATTCCCGAGCTGTAAATACTAATTTGGGGACACTACAAAGAGCTATTAGTGTTTCCAGCATTAGTGGGAAAATGAAAAGCAGATGAAACCGATTAAGTTAGGAATGAAATTTGTCTTCAAATGTTGGCTAATTTTTTCGGTATCGTTGTTCCTACTTAAAGAGGGCATTCATGTGAATTTATCTTTCTGATTAATTCGTCACCACATGAACGTAGCAAATAAAGCAATGTAATTCAAATGTATACTGAGTCAGTGGAACTTGCTGTGGTTCAGATCTGCTGCAATATGTAGCTCCCTGTCCCCTCGGTTTAGTAGTTTTTCATAATCCTGCCAAATTGAACATGTCACTTGTCAACTTTTGTATATGATATTATATTTGTCTGGTCAGAACAACATATTCCCTCGGTTCCACCGGTCCCTGTTGGAGCTGTGATTCTGTGTTCACATGTTTTCTTTCTCTGCTCTCAGCCCACAGCGACAGTCACCCCTAAAGCAACCAAGAACG